CTGCTGGCCAGAAACACAGTTAAGAGATTCTCATAAGGACAAGCAGGAAAATTACAGAGGTTGCAGTACAGCTCATTTTCTTTCCATACATTTTATTGTTTGCCTGATTACTATTAGCTTCAGCATATGAAGAAGTAGCTATTCCCTGAAGTTAGCTTCTACATTAGAAGCTACTACAGGAGCCATAATTTTATTTTTCTCTTAGTGGTGTAATGGCAGTTGCTTTTTTTCTGATATGAAAACAAATGTCCCTTCCTGAAAAAGAAGTGAACTTATGGAAAAATATTAGGTAGGTCTATATTCCAGAAAAAGAAAGAAATAATCTGAATTATATCTGTTCTCATCATTTGCTTACTGTAATCAGCGCAAAACTTTTGAATTTTCAGATCTTATTCAGATCTTTCCGATCTTGTTGATAAAGGCAGTGAACCAGAACATAGTTGTGTTATCTGCATCATCATTACTGTTATCACAGGTACTTACTGCTTAGAATTCTAAGTGCCTAAAATGGATGTCTTAATGTTTCATAGTAAATGAAATAATCTCAGACTTAGAAGATACAGGGATTAAATCAATTTTCTATAAGGAGTCTGTGCTAAGCATCTCTGTTGATGACAGCTTTACATATAGAACTATCTAATGCTGAACTCAGGAGAGTAGCAAAAACCAAGAACACTGTTATGGTCTCATTACCTGCAAAAGTTAAAAAAAAATAGAAAAACACCATAAAGTCATATGCTGCAGTTCTTAGGTACATCACAAAAGTTGAAAAAATTGGTCAGGATATTATTACTATAAAATGCAAAAAGGTAATGAGCTCTAGAAATCCAGGCTGACAAAATCAGGTGCTGTAATGAGCAACAACTTTTCAATGATCGGTTTCAATACAGCAAAAGCAGGATTTCAGAATTCAAATAGGACAGCAAACAAGCTTAGCTTTTTCAGTTTTTTTTTTAACTTAACTTTAATGTATCGCATCATTGCATCTTATCTGCTGAATAATGTTGAACGTAATATTTGTCAACAATTTAATTTTTGTAATATAGCACTGGAACAGAAAAAGAGCTGGAACTAAAGTTACTTCCTGGAATAAGAGCAGGATGCATCCAACAGGAGGCTTGTCTTTTAGTGCCCTGCTTTCTGCTGTCATGTTTTCTGATAGCTTACGTCACATGGTTAGTTGTACTATCATCTTTTGAAGGAAATGATTCACATCTTGAAAGAAAGAAGTTTTCTGGAAACTTTGCTATATCAAAGAGAACATAGAAGCAATAGGAAGCAATAAAAACTACTGTAGACCTTATTTCCTAAGTGCAAAGTGGCTCGTTGATTAGATGAGTGCACACTAGCGGCATGTGTCCCAGTAAAAGCCTGTTATGAGTGGCCATGTAAAATTAAATATCAATGTAGCAACTCGAGGATAGTACAGCCTTATAAAATCAAAGTGAAAACACAGTACTATATCTGAGATAAGTATTCTCTCGGTCCTTTTTCAGATTCCTAAGTTTCTGCTAAACAGAACACATCTGACCACTAAAGAAATATTTAAAACATAGCACCATGCTATAAGAAAATGATAGATAACATAACATAAAAAGTTTTTTTAAAAAAAGAGCAGAGTAGTGAGTTACAGGCACGTAATTGAACAGATGTGTATGCTACTGTGGGTTTTTCATTGTGATGGGAATACATTTACGTTCTGTGACATCTACATCATCCTACAGCTGCAGGAAGCTATGTATCTCAGTACTGAAAAAGACCCCGGGCAATCTGGGGCAGATTTCGTGGGAGGTGTGGCTTACTCTTTGATTTCATACATTCAGAGGACTCTGGTCTTCATTCTGCCACCATGCTGGTCTTTAACCACATCAGGCAGTGATCAAAATATCTAGCACATTGAGTCAGCAATGGTTAGTTCTAGTTCAGTAGAGCTGGATACATTGTGTTCAAAGGACTTTCTAAATACATTTACTCAGTCATCTCTAAAAAGTAATGACCTTGTAATATTTATTTTCTATTTAGCATGTTTTTGCTTTTATTTTACTTAGAGCAAAAATGGCTTTATGGAATTCTTTACATAAAAAGTACTTTTTGCTTGTAAAAATGGTCCATTCCTTGTGAGCGAAGGGAAGAAGTAAGGCATCTGCAAGTGGGAAAAGGAAGAAATGAAGAAATCTTGACTCCTTGGCTATCGAGGCTGCGCTGTGATGATTTTAATGCAAAATACAACTGTGATTTTCTTTAAAGTACATCACTGGCATAGTCTTTAAGATTTCATTAATGTGATCATCAGAGCTTTCTTCCTTCATTTGAAGTGGAACCTTTAAATCTTCTGCCACAGGTCCGTTTGTTTTTCTGGCTTATTTCACTGCATCTTGACAAAACAAAATCATTCACAGCTGCACATCATGTTCGAATTCTCACTTGTCTTCAGTCTTCTATTACCTGATTTCTTTCCTATTATCTTCTGAAATGAGTTTTATTATATGAGACTCTGATGAGTTATTTTTCTTTTGTTGTTGTTATTGTTTCGTTATAAGCTTGCAGTTTTCCTGTGGGAATTAGGGCTGAGATAGCA